GTAAATATTAAACAAGTATTAGATCGCACAGCAATGTGTAAAAACAATCGTCAGGCCGTTGGCGCCCTCTGCAGGCCTTTGTTGTAATGCGTGATGTACATTAGCTCTATTCACTGATCTATAATAGAGATTATATTATTTTATAATTATATATAGATCAGTGGCTCTATTACATTATAATACAGTATTTTAACAGTTTTGTTCAGTAAAACCCATATGATTTCTTGCTTTTGGTACTTTATTTGAACTAATTATTATTGCCTCATTGCTATTATATATATGTATTTTAATTAAATGTAAAGGCTATTGTTGACTTAACCTACATCTATTTTTATTACCACAAAAATTAATTATTAATTATTATTTTCTTTTTATTTCATTTTTATTAGGTTTGTTTAAATTTTTACTCTTTTAGTTTTACATTTCGTCAATGGCTTTTTTACATTTCTCATCAGTGTGGGTTTAGTGTAGTGAAGCTGTGGTTGGGTGTCATCACCGCAGAAACAGGTCAGTGAAATGGTTATTCAAACACTTGGGGAACCTAAATGTTTTGGCTAATTGTGGACAAACTTCTAGGAACAATAAATGTAAAAGCATTTGACCAATTAGAATCAAGTATGAGCCATGTAATAAATCTTTTTGACGTCTCAATGAACTCTAACACTCAGAAAAAGAATCATTTTCAGGCTGGTTTCATGATTTTACAGGTATGCAACAGTTGTACTGAAAAATACCATCTCTGCTACAATAATTTTGAATTTATTTATTTATTTACTTTAAAATCAAGACGTTACAGAGTTAAATTTGCAGAGGCCTTGTATTAATATTATAGTGAAAAAACCTTTAGATTTAGATTTGTGTCTAGAAAACCGGATCTATCCACAGGAACACTGCTGGTCATGGAAAGGAGTGAGACGCTTTAGGAGAGATTTTATCCAGTGTTTTCTGTTGACGCTTTATATTCCGAGCCTGGATCAATGCCGAGCATTGTGCTCAAGCTGTGTGGCACACTGTATTTACTCTAAACCTATTGTTTGACTAAAGTGGTTTGAGGTGTTTAATGTTGGAGGTTATGATTAAGCCTTGTAGTGGTTGTGCTCTGAGGATTTTTCTGTGTTGACTTATCCAGATCTCAAGTAAACTCATGAATCCTTTGTTGGCAGTTTAGGTCACTGGTCCTTTTAAGTACTCATATAAAACCATAAGTTGAACTGACACGGCCGGCTTAGGGTATTGTTCACATCTTATTAAAATCAGATTTTGGTAGAAAATAATTGCAAGTTAAAGTGAATGAAATAGCTTACAGTATGTTGTATGTAAAAGCAGTAGCGAGCACCATGTTGTACTCTATTTAAAATAGTAATTCATTAATCATTTTTATTGCATTTCAATACTCAATTTAGAAATTTATTATGAAAAATATTAATGCAATCATGGATTTTTTTTGCTTTTTAAAAAAAAAAAAAAAATCAATTAACAAGGTAAATGAAATGCCCCACTAATTAGTACCAGTTGATGTTGTGGCTATAGCTGTGTACAGGTGGTTTGTGTGTATAAGTATGCTGGGGTAAATGAAGCCGGAGAAGTAAATGGTGAATCAAAGACAAACAAAACAATCCCCAGGGTTCACACATTTTAATTCCTCTTTCATTTACTATCCTCTTCCCAGTGAGCACAGACTTGTCTCTTTTTTTCTAGTTAAACTTACAGCTGACGTACATTTACTGTATGTGCACTGTACACTGTAAGGAAAAAAAAATCCATAGAAAAGCAGATAATGTCCTGGCAGAAAATTACCAGTACACTTTCCGTTAATTTTATGGTCATTTCCTTCAAACCTTAAACAGCACAATGCAATGCGTAATTCGAAATACAGGTAAAACACCTGTGTAACATCAATAAGGAAAATTCCTTCATATTAACATTGTTCATTGGCCGAATTTTACGGTCTTTTCTTAGAGTGTATGTAATCAACCTTGTGAAGAGCACATACTGACTCCACCACAGCATGATGTAACCGCTAGCCTCCAGAGACAAAAGCCTACCCAATAATAGAGCAGTGCTGTTAACACACAACTCCTGATTGAACTCCTGTCAATCAGTGAGGTCTGGAGTTTGTCGTTGCTGCTTCTCTCATGTCTGGAAGGACTTTGAAGTGTCAATCACATCCAGGTGACACCCGTGCAGTGAGGTGCCACCCTACTCTGTGGCTAAGTGTGGACTGTCCTGCTGATGGGAAATAAGAAACAAGGGAGAGGTTCATGGTTTCTTTAAAATTCTTCAAAATCATGGTAGTGGCTGTTAGCTAAACCTCAGCATTCGTAGCATTTTAGAAAAATGATTGATAACTGCAATATATTGTCAACATTTTGCCAAAATTTAGTTGAAGCATGGACAATGATTTTATTTGTTTATTTTTTGCAGCCTAAAAATGACTGAATTTTGGTTTCTCTAAATTTGTGCAAACTCACCAATAATCATGATGTATTTATGTAACTGGTGATATAGATGGGAAGAATACAAGAATACCTAAATATTTTTGCACATTACTAAATAGGCAATGGTGTCACCAGCGTAGAAGTTGTCATAGTTCTTCTTGGTTGAAAATACAGAATTGTGTAGGACACAATAGCTTGCACACTGTCACTGAACCAGTACAGTATCTAATCAGTGAAATTATATACTGTACACTTTTAATATTTAAAAATATTATTTAATGTTAATTGAACAATTATATTGTCTATTGTGGTAGTATTGTGTTTCACCGGTTTGGAAGAGAACAGGTTGAAAAGAAAATAGACAAGTGAAGGTCATGAATGAATGATTTGGAGAGATCACTTGGAAATATTAAATATTACCCTCTCCAGGCCTTCCATCGCTCAAATGGGTTTCATATTGGAAATTTTCTTTCCTTTTTAAACACTTGTATATAACCAGATGTCATAGTTCTCTGTATGGTCCATCACTGCTCATTTTACAATGGTATTCACTGCAATACAGCAGCAATATTGTTGAAGACATATTGATAATTTTTTTTTGGATTCTGAACTATAGATTTTTATAAAATTTCTTTTCCCCCTCTCAGTTTAATTTTTTTTTTTTTTTTTTTTAAGTTGTGGAAATAAGACAAAAATACAAGCTGGCACAAAAAATGTGGCGTATGCTTGATTTTGCGTTAAATTCTGTAATTGCAGAATCGCAAAATCCTGGAGGGACTGTTTAGTAAAATAATACAGAATATGCTCTTGACAGCTGTAGCCATTATGAGATAATCG